CCATGGTTCCTAGAGGAAATTCAGGCTTAAGTTCCTATGAGCTTCCAATCACAACATTTTCACCAACTGATCAATACGTTACATGTGTTTCTGCTTAAAGACACCTCGGATATATATATTGTTAACTCATTAACTTTGTTTTTTTTTTTTTTGAAACAGAGTCTCACTGTGTTTCCCGGGCTAGAGTGCCGTGGCGTCATCCTAGCTCACAGCAACCTCAAACTCCTGGGCTCAAGCGATCCTCCTGCCTCAGCCTCCCAAAGTGCTGGGATTACAGGTGTGCGCCACCACACCCAGCCATCTTGGGCCTTTAAATCTACTTGGGAGCTGCTGCTGGTCCTGTGTAGACACCAGGCCATTCCCAACCTCCCTCATGCCTCTTGGCTTCTCTCGCCTGATCCCAGGCCTTGACAAGGACTGTGGCGTCCTGTGTGAGGTGGTGCACTGGGCACTGGGCCTGGAGGGGTCCTGGAGGACCAAGATGCAGAGAGACAATTGCTCTCACAAAGGCTGCACAAGCAGCTCTGAGAACGCAGAGGAGGGCTCTGATCCACTGGGGGCTGATGGGAAGCTAAGCAAGTGTCTGCAGAGCTGATACCTGAAGACTGGGGAGGAGTGAGTTGAACAAAGAAAAAGACAGAGGTGGGCTGGTAATAGGCTCTCAAAAACATCCCCTGATTTTCAGTGTTTGCCAATTCCCATGGTGTCAATGCTTCTATTATGACCAATGTCAAGCTACCAACTGTTTTAACAAGCTTGCAAAACTCCTGTGTGTGTAGCAGCCAGCTCCCTGAGCCTGTGCCATCAGAAGGAACAGCATCTGCAAAGGTCCAGAGGCAGGAAGGGCAGGAGCGGGAGTGGAGCCTTACCTGGGGGCACAGGCAGCTCAGCCACATCCACGGCTCGGCCAGCCTTGTGGGCTCGGATGGCATCTTGGTATTGCTGTGGGGGATGCAGGTGTTAGGGCTACCTGGGGGAGGTCTCTGGGGGCTGCCCCCTCACCTGCCCAGCCC